TTTGCCTGTCTCACTCCTGCTCCCCTCAGCAGTGTATTTCAGTAGAGCGGCCTGTCCCCACTGTCTCTAGTGAGTCCTCTCATCCCCTGCACCTCTGGCCTATACCCCATCTCTTATGTGCATAAATAAACCTTAAAAACAAAAAACAATAAACAGGGAAAAGTTCTCTACATGGGTTTTTATTTACTTTTGCAGAAGCTTTCAATTGACAACATGTTTGTGAGTTTTGTATTTTTTTAAAAGATTTATTCATTTATTCATACAGAACTGGGGTACAGGCCAGAGATGTGGAGGGTGAGAGGATTCACCAGAGACAGAGTGGGGAGCAGCAGGCGTGTCAGGAGAGGTCTGCCACGCCATGTGGATCTCCGCCATGTGGATCTCCTCGGGCAAGCAGGGATCGACCCCATGAGGAAGTGGCTTAAGCTTCTTAGTGCAGTGCTTTAACCCGCTGCACCACCAGAGAGGGCCCATTTGTGTAGTTTTTTTTTTTTTTAACAGTATTTTACTGTTTTTAAAAGAGAAAAATTGAAATAGCTATTTAAAAAAAAAGCAGAAGTGGCTAATATGAATCCCACAATTAGTATTTATTCTATACAAATTTATCTGAAATGTTAACACTGACAAATACTGGCTTTAGTTAAGCTACAACAGACTAGATCATCCTGTTCAGTAATCTCAGTTCAACTAATCAACAGATTCATAATCAGACAAAATATGCATAAAATGTCTTAAATACCTCAGTCTTTTGTTTGGGTTGTTGCAAACTTTCATCTATAGTCTCATCAAAAATTAAAATAAAAGGCATTACTGCAGCTGACTCACAAATGAATAGTTAGTGGCATATAGGAGTCTCAGGAAAAAACTAATTGAAAATTCAGAGACTGGAGAACCAATCCTTAACTTTATACCTTGATTCATAGTGAATCATAGTACAAAACAAGTTATTTATCTATAGTAAGAAATATTCAGATCATGCTAAACTAGTCCCAAGAGCTGATCAAGAGGACTGACCAGCCTTTATCTCCAGGTGGATCCAAGATAAAAGGCACACATATGCACAACCCCAAAATTAGTCTACAAACTCCTGCCTGAGTATTCATACTAGGCCTTAATAAAAGCACTCTTATTATCAAGACAAAAGGTTTCCACCCGAGTTCCATAAGCAATATCTGTGAGTCCTCGGCACAAGAGGTAAACAAGTTTGCTACATCTGCCACATAAACTCTGAACTCAAGTCAGCTTTCTAATTGTTTTTTTCCATTTATTTTTAGGTCAGGCTTACAATTTTTTAATCTTCAAATTCTTGAAAGTTTTAAACAATTGAAACCTCCACATGTGAGAAGTCCAAATGTCTCCCTCTCTACCTCACAATCCCACTTCCACCAAAAACATTTTCCTATTTCCGCTACCATAATCACAACAGGAAAGAGGGCAGACATTCACTAGTGCACAGGCTTGGAAGGCTGCGCACTTTCAACTCCAGACTGCCAATTCCCAACCTCCTGGCTTCTAACCTCGTTCTTTCTGGAGGCGTGAACAATTCCACCCAGTTGGACTGGTTAGTCCCAGGGAAAGGGGAGAGAAAGGTGAAAGCCTAACCTAGCACAAGCACATGGTGAACACTTCAAATAAATGGTAGCTATTACCAAACACGACTGTCACAATTTGAGGCAAGACACATAAAAAATACAATCTGCCCTAACACAGGAAAACAGCCATGTGCAAACCCTTGGTGCAGTATCAGGTACCCTCCTGAGCTCTTAGTTCACTTGTTTTCTAAGTTCATGTCAATTTTATTATCTCCACCTTTACAGGTAAGGAAACTCACACACTCAGGTCTGGCGAATTTAAAACACTCAATCTTAACCACCACACCACAATGAACAAAGCCATAAAGGAAGCGTCTTCAACAGCAGGATGAGATTTCAATCTGTAAAGTCGTCGGGGCCGTCCCTCCCGTTTAAACTTCTACCCTATCCAGTGCTAATTCAACATGAAAGGGTGGAACAACTCAGTAGTCTCGGGAGTGTGGACGGATGCGTTAGGCAACCAGATCTTATGGTTTGCTGTGAGACACCTAACTGGGTGACCTTACCTTTTCTGAACCCCAGTTTCCTCCACCGCAAAATGGAAACAAAAATAGCACCGACTTGACCGAGCGGTTCGGAGGACTAACGCGAGTCACGTAACCCACGCCGAAGAATGCTCATTAGTGCTCACTGTAAATAATGGGGGCCGCGGAAAGGGGAAGACGGAGCGATCTTGCAGCCGGCACAGCTTTGTCCCCGACTGACCCGGCAGAGAGCTGTAGGCCGGCCACCTCCGCCCTCCCGCCCGGCCGTGGGTGCCCTCCCTTACCGCTCTTGGGTTTAGACTCGCCGGCCGGCCCCGCCGAGGCGGAGCGGGGCGGCTGTTGCCCTTTGCTGCTGCCCGAAGAGGCGGAGGAGCTGCTGGAGCCGCTGTTCTTGTCCATGTCGGAGGCGGTGGCGGCGGCGCTGGGAGAGCTCAGCGGCATCAACGGGGGCCTCGGCGGCGGCGGCGGTCGGAGCGGAGCGGGCGCGGCGGGGACCCAGGCTCATGGCGTTCGGGGCCGGCGGGGGTCGGCGGCGGCAGCGGTTCTCGGCCTTCATGGCGACATTTTTCCTTGTTTCTTCCTCAGCTTCTCAAACTAGTAGGAGAAGCGGCGGGCGGGGCTGTGGAGCCCAGCGGCGGCGGCGACGGAGGAGGAGGAGAAGGCCGGGGCTCGGAGGTCCGGGCCGGGCCTGGCGGGGCGGAGGCTGCGGGGAAGGGAAGGCCAGGGAGGGTGCGCGAGCCCCGCCGGCCGGCCGGACACGCTCTCCCGCCGCGGGGCAGGGGAGAGGGCTGGCTGTCTTGGTGTCGGGGACCGGTGTCGCCGACACAGCAACCGACACTCGCCTCTGGGCCGAGGCCGAGCTGCTCCGGGAATGGCGACGAGTCGCCAAACAGCATCTCGAAGAACCCGGATGAAGTATATATAGTGGAGAAGTTTGAGCGATGCACGCTGGGAAATGTAGTTTCTGTGTACATCCGGGCCCAGTGGCCTTTTTTTTTTTTTTCTTTTTCCTTAACCAGTGCGAGGATGTGCACTCTGCTGAGACTTGTAATCCTGGTTTTCGTCTTAGTATGTGTGTAGAATAATATATCTAGTACTAATGCATCCAAACATTACTACGCCTGTGGAATTTATTAACTCATTGTTTAAGTATGATTCTTATTCTCTCAAAGCTAGGAACAAATATTTCTTGGCAGACTAAACTTAGAAACCTATTGTAGGCCAGGCATTGTGCTGAGCACAGGAATGCCAAAATACATTAAGGTTGAGGTCTTTACTATACTCATAATTTCCTAAGTTAGTTGGACAAATAAGAAACTACAAAGGAAGAACATAAGGACAATAATAAAGTTAACAGAAAGTACCGACCAGAGCAGAGGCTCCAAGAGGCATTGGGAGGGGAGGGGTCAAGAAGGGCTTCCCAGAGGTGGTATCACTAAAGCTGAGCATAGAAGGGTGGTTGAAATTTCAGCAGTCATAAAAGAACAAATAAATAGATGCAAAATTCTAGAATTCCTCTAATTGGGCCTTTTGCTCCTTATCTTTGCATGTAATATAAAATATTAATAAGTACATAGCAATCAGTTTACTTAAATTAACAGTTTAAACTGGGATAAAGAAAGCTATATACTAATTTCATGTTTTAAAATATCCTTAAAATGTCCTCCACCAACCCTGTCTTGCTTCAACTTTTAACTATTTTCAGTATGACCCCTAGTCATACTGAAGTGAGAGAACAGCAACACAAGATTGGTCTGAAAACTTAATTTGATGTTTAACAGGAATAGCCCCAAATCCTGAGGCCTATTGTTATGTATGACTAAATGTGGAGATGTACTAAAATTCCTTGATGAATTTCTATTTTCTTTAACAAAGCTGTAAGAGCTCTAATTGCATGGACAAATCATTCCCTCCTTGTATTACTATTAAAATAAAAGAGAGGGCCTCTTTGTTGAAGCAAGAGGTTAAGTTTCAGCACTATGAAGTTTTCACCAGCCACTGGAGCAAGAATTCCATCCCTGGTCAGGGAGCTGACCCACAAGGCACTCAGCAGAACTTTCCTGTCTCACCAGCTGCTCCCGTCAGCAATGGATTTCAGTACATCTGTTTTGCCCCCAACTCTGTCTCTGATGAATCCTCTCTCACACACACACCCCACCTCTGGCCTACACCCCAGTTCTAGTATGCATAAATAAATCTTTAACAAAAAAAGAGAGAGACTCAAAGCAGAAGAATAAAGAAACTTAAGTAAAGCTCACTACTTTCATCCTCTTTTGCAAGTCATCTAAATGACCCTTCCAGTTAAAAAAAGAACAGGAAAAGCTGGGGGTGAAATAAAACATCCCGACAATGCCTGTTGCATCTAGAAAGCAGGAAGTGATGAGTAGTGATTGGTTTAGACTTGCTAAATGGACACCAGAGATTTCCTTCCCGTTTACAAACGTCCTAGGTTGACAAGCTAGAACAACCACATAACAGCTTATATTTATCTTTCAAGGCAGTCCTAAGTGTTTGTCAAGAGGGTTCTGTGTACTCCTTGGTTGGTTCAGATTCCCAATACTATTACTAGATTCAAAGGATCTGCACTTAAGAGAAACGGGTGATTCTTTCACACACCCAAGTTTGAAAATACAAATTCTGTAACCTGGCTTCTTAACCACACCGTGCCTCAATTTCCTCCTTCAACACCAAAAACAATAGCCTGCAAAAATTCGGTATCTTGCAGAAATCACAGGCATGGCCTCTGAGAGGTGATTTGGGGACTCCTTCTAAAATCCCCTCACCATCAATTTGGTAAGAGAGAAAAGGGATTTCGGGGACTCAAAGTCTACGTAGCCTTCGGAGTCTAGATGTCGTTTCAGGACGATTTTGGCAAATACTGTCTCTGGCCGGCCGCCGTCGGCCGCCTAATGATGCAACGTGACGTAACGTCTGACCGCTGTCATCCTGTTGCCAAGATGGCGGCCTCCAGGAGCTATGCTCTGTGGCTGTCCTGCGGCCGCGGGTGGTCGCGGGCGAGGAGGCGCTACCCGCTCCCTGGGCTTCGTAGCTCCTGGCCCGGGGACCCACTGGGTGTGCGGTTCATGTCCCAAGAGAAGCAGGCAACGGAAACGCACTTCGGTTTTGAGACTGTATCGGAGGAGGAGAAGGGAAGCAAAGGTGAAAGGGGCTAAGGGATGGATGGACGGATCTGATCGTCAGCGATCTAGTTTCTTCTGCCCAACTAAGTGTTGACTTAGGTCCTGTTAACTACGAAGCTGTAGCCTGTGCAGTGCGCACCTCCAAGGAACACCCCCAGTCTGATCCCGCAAAGCTTAAATGCCTCGTCTTTTTAAGCAGGGTAATTACCATCAAGCGCCATTGTGAACAATTTAAAGGTCTTGCTTTACCTTTTCCATCCCCCGCCCCGTCCTCCCCAATATCATGTTGAAATGAGAGAATAGCTGTATAATGTTGGGCATTGGTAGTGTGCCAGGCACCGCGCAGACATTAATTTACAATTCACATTTCAGCTTTCTGATAGTGAGTAGTAGTATGTCTATATCACACATGAAGAAATAGGGATTTAGTGGTTAGGTAAGAACTTGATCTGCTTAACACAGCTAGTAAGTGGATGAACCACATACTGGAATAAAGTAAGTATTCCAGCCTACTTTAATCTGCCTCGGAACTCATTGTTTTGATATTTTGCTAAAAGGATATGCCATTTTTATAGAAAGGGAGCAGAGGGTGTGTCAGGAGAGGTCTGCCACTCCATGGGGGTCACCTCCCTGGTCTGGGATGGAATCCTACTGTGGTGCCTTCCATAGCTTCATAGTGCTGCGCTTTAACCATTTCGCCACCGGGAGGGCCCGTTTCGTTTATTTCTTTATCCTTAGTTCCTGGTGCACGTTAGATGCTTGATAATTATTTATAGGTTAAAATAAATAGAGCCAAGTAAATGATAGTAAACATTTATTGAGAGTCTGAAGACTTCTTAGAGCCATTAATTTTTACAAATACAACCCAATGAGGTAGAAACTATTAACCCAGCTTTATACATGAAGAAACTTTTCAAACAGATATGTAAGACACTTGCTCTGGATCATGCTAACAAGTGGCAGAGCTGAGATTAGAATCCATTGAGTTGCTTCCAAAATAATAATAGTGCCTAATTCCTGTATTGTGCTTTACAATGTCTACACTATTTCACATAACAAGCAGGGTAGGAGTCACTACTGAACCACTTCCAGGTTGGGATGGAAAACTAAAGGACAGATAAGGCCTCTCTGGTGGCCTAAGAGTTAAGTCTCAGCACTGTCACCACTAAGGCTCTGTTATATCCCAGGTCAGGCCAGGGAGCTGATCCACATATGGCGCAGCAGAACTCTCCTGCATCTCTTGCTTGCACCCTAGTTCTTCAATGCCAAAATAAATAAATCTTTAAAAAAACAAAGGCAGGCAGTTTTCCCTGTTAGTTATATATGTAAAGGGAAATGAAAGTTGAAAAGGGTAGTAAGGCTAATATTTATTTACACATTATCTAATATTAATTACACATTAGATGTAATTTTAACTTAAGTTATATTATTAAAATTTTTAATGTTTTTTTAAATTCAAATAGAAAATAAGAAACATGGAGAGCTAAGTTGTCTTATCCCTTTGTTAAAAATTTAGCTAGAGTAATATGAAGAATACTTGCTCCCTTCCAGTCATTTAATTTACATTAGGGAATGGACATCTTTATGTCTTGGCAAATTGCCCTATTCCTTTCTAAGTTTCAATTAGCTTCTACAATTGTATTCTTGTAATGTCATGCAATATCTCCAGGAATTTCTTTAGTGAAAAGTTTTGGCTGATTTCATTTTCTCTGGAACATTGTAACATTCTCATCACAAACACATTCTCATTCATGTCTATAGTTCATCTTCACAAAGTTCTTTTGGCTGCACAGCTAAAGTCTCTCAAGTGGCAGCAATATAAACATTACCACAGTCAGCCGTTTCTCCCATAACTCCACTGACATTCTGTTCAAATTTCACTTCCAGTATTCTCATTTTTCCTACCTCTGCTGCACTTACATTTTTATTCACCTGTTTCCTCTTTCAATTATCCAGTTTTGTAAAATGATGCATAGGTTTACAGTGGAGAGATAAGGACATAACACAACTGCATGATTTGCTCTCTTCTAAGCTGAATAACTTATGTATAGTGACCAGCTATCTCTCCTGTGAAGAAGTGAAATGATTGGTTACTGTTCATGGTGCCTATCTGTTATTTGTGTAGTGACTTGTGGACTGAAGATCTGTTAGCATAGTTTATACTTTATTCAATTTCTCAGTTAATATACCATTGTATTTGAATGATGTTGCTAGAGGACTGGTGTTACCTAACTAAACCACAGTAACTGAAATCATACACATCGGAATCCTGCACCGCTAGGGGTATTTGCATTTGGATTGGGCTTTCATGTTCCTTGATACCCAAAAGACATCAAAAGAAAAGACTGAGATTGGTGATCCCGGGGTTAAGAATAGCCACTCAAGATTGAGTTAGAGGATGGGCTCTAGAGCCTGCTAATTTACAAAAGATGGTAATATTTTGGGTCATTGCAGCACAATTCATCAAAAGAATTCAAAGCATCTCCTGTTTTTTTACCTAATTCAGCCTTATCCAAGGCAGCAGGAGGATGGCACTGATATTCCCATTTTATGGGCAGAGAAACTAAAATACAAAAAAGCGAAATGTCTTAGGTAGTGAATCCTTCTCTCTCTAGCTAGTCCAGATTCCCCATTCTGCCTCGATCCCATAGAGGAGATTCATGGGGACTATCTATGGTATAATTTGGCCTGATTCACATCTTGTCAATCATCTGTCCACCAAACTGTACCTGAGATTTTTCTCAGTGAAAAACTGAGCTGAGGCTTCCCATCCACTAGTCACATGTCTTTCTAGTGGATTCTATTCTTTTATTGTAATGACATTAGAAAAATTCTGCTCCATCACTCTTCTAAGAAACAAACCTATTTAAGTATGCCTATAGCATTATAACAAGGTAGGGACCCTAGAAAAAGGCTACTAAGACAATAGAAAAGAGGGTTTCTTATGGGGAGTAATTTAAAAGAAGTAATATTAAGGTGTAGATTTGGGTATCAAACATTCTATTTTAGTTTTGCTTTGCAAAGACAGGCAATTTCAAGGGTGGATGAGCTTCCTTTCATTGAACACAGTTCCAAGTTAACTTTGCTAATACGTGTATTGTACATCTCCCTGTCAGTCTATCAGGTGTTTGAAAGTGTGGCCAAGAAATATGATGTGATGAATGATATGATGAGTCTTGGTATCCATCGTGTCTGGAAGGATTTGCTGCTGTGGAAGATGCACCCACTACCTGGGACCCAGCTGCTCGATGTTGCTGGAGGCACAGGTAATGTGCAGTTTGGTATCTGCCTTTCCCGGAAGTGAGTGTTTCACTGAAATGAGCTAGCTCATTTAGCATTTGGTGCAAGCTGGCTATGGAACATCAGTGCGCTACTGAGAAACTCTCTTTCCTTTTTAAATGAATATCAATCCAAAACACAGAATATCTGCTTTGTGCCCGTGTACTGGGTTACTCCACTGAGATTTTTCTCAGTGAAAAACTGAGCTGAGGTTTCCCATCCACTCGTCACATGGCTTTCTAGTGGATTCTGTTGTCTTTTATTGTAATGACATTAGAGAAATTCTGCCCATCACTCTTCTTCTGTTTTACCTTCTGTTAACCTTGAGCCCTTTCCCTCTTTGTAGCCAGCCTTTCCTGCCTCATCTGATGTGATAACATCTCACATATCAAAAGCTAAATTGTTTATCCATGACCCTCTGTTACTCTGTGCATACCAAGCATATTGGAGAAAAGTGTCATAGGATTCTAAAGACATCTTGGTGATAATTACATGGTTAATGTGTGTGTTAAATTACATTAGAATAATGTGTAATATAAGTTAATAGTGTGATAATCTATACCAGTAGAATAATGTACAGGAATAAATTACAGTAAGATAATCATATTTGAAGCATGTTTATGTGTGACTTTTTGTAAACAAGATTTATTGTTATTTATTTATGAATATAAGAAATGGGGACTAGGCCAGAATTGCAGTGGGTGAGAGGATTCACCAGAGACGGAGTGGGGAACAGAACAAGTAGATCTACTGATATTGCTGAGGTGAGCAGCAGGCAAGACAAGAGAGGTCTGCTGTGCCATGTGGGTCAGCTCCCTAGACAGGGGTCAAACTTATGCCACAGTGGCCGGCGATAGTTGAATAGCACTGTGACTTCAATCCCTGCGCTACCAAGGAGGCCCCTTATGTGTGACTTTTTGGTGTGATCCACTCTTCAAATGGAACTTAGAGGACAGTAAGACACCTTGCCGAGAAGAGGAAAATTTAGTAGAATCTGTCAAAATCAAGACTATATAATTTAGAATCCTACAATTCCAATTCTAAATAGTTAGTCTAAAAAAAAAATTAATCAAAGATACAGTTACAAATATGGTCATGTTCTTTTCTATGAAAAGAATAATGGGCCTTCTTGCTGGTGTAGGGGTTAAGTCATAGTACTATTACTGTAATGGTCTGAGTTCCGCCCCAGCCAGGGAGCTGATCCACATATGGTGCAACAGACCTCTCCTGTCTCTCCCACTGCCCCCCTCAACAGTGTACTTCATTGATCTACCTGTTCTGCTCCCTGCTCTGTCTCTGGTGAGTCCTCTCACCACCTCTGGCCTGTATCCCAGTTCTGTATTCATAAATAAATAATCGTAAAAAAAAACAAACATAGAAATATGGCTGATGGACTCCCAGTAGAATGGAGAGATTCAGGGAAATGTAAGGATATGTGTTATGCAAATACTTTAAAAAAAACAAGACAAGGAAGTAAATAGCATAATAAGAAAAGAAATGTGATCCTCAAAAGCACTGGCTTTACCTAAACAATAATGTAACAATTGCCTGGTCACAATAATATAAACATTTTTCATTTTCAGCTTTTAGATTCAAACCATCATTGAAACCCTGAAGATTTAACAATAGCTATAGAACAGACAAAATGTCATCAGTCTTGACAGAGTAAAGTACATATGATGAAAGGTTGAAGGGAGTCAAGAGATACTGTCTGTAGTTGAAATACAGTATCAATTAGTTTATTACTCTAAGTTACAGAGGGTCCATGAGGAACTATGAAAAGTGATATGAGTATGTTGAAAAAATAGAGGCTGACAGAGTTGGGGGCAGGATGTCATAAATTTGGTAAGTAAAGAACTATCTGCAACCAACAGAAGAGACAGACAAGAGCTGGAAAAGATAGCATGGGAGAACTGAACTAAGAGAAGGAAGTGGGGGTATTGTTGCTTATAATTCTACCCGTAAACTACTGTCACAAACTTTATTAGAAAAGACCAGAGAACTGCATATTAAGCTCTTAACATTTCATATAACTGGAGAAGGGTATACAGGGAAAACTGACCTTTGTGTTCTAACATGTGTTAGTCTTCTTTGGTAATAATGTATTCAGGCATTGCTTATATGTTTTTTTATGAAGGTTTTTTAAAGTGTCTCAGAAGCTAAAATAATTGCTTTTTTAAAAAGATTTATTTATTTATGCATACAGAACTGGGGTACAAGCCAGAGGTGCAGGGGCGGTGAGAGGGTTCACCAGAGACAGAGCAGGGAGCAGAACAGGCAGATCGATGAATTATATTGCAGCAGGTAGGTCAGGAGAGGTCTGCTGCACCATATGGATCACCTCTGGGGTGGGGATCAAACTCATGCTGAAGTGGCTTTAGCTTCTTAGTGCTGTGCTTTAACATGCTGTGCCACCAGGGAGGACCCTAAAATAACTGCTTTTATAAAGAAAAAAAGTTCCTGTTGAGCTAAGTAGGAATTTCAATTTTTGTACACACTCAATTACTATAGTTTTGTTGTGCCCTTTGTGTTTAGGAAATGCTAGGGTTTTGTTTGTGTTTGTGTTTGCATCTTTCCTCCTGTTGGCTTCCCACAGGTGACATTGCATTCCGGTTCCTTAATTATGTTCAGGCCCAGCATCAGGAAAAGCAGAAGAGACAGCTAAAGACCCAACAAAATTTATCATGGGAAGAAATTGCCAAAAAGTACCAGAAGGAGGAGGATTCCTTAGGTGGTTCCCATGTCATGATCTGTGACATAAACAAGGAAATGCTAAAGATTGGAAAACAGAAAGCCTGTGCTCAAGGATACAAAACTGGTAAGTTCTGTAGACAGAGGAAATGTTTACTATGCTTATGAAATAAGGTGGAATATATAAAATGCATTACTTTCCAGCTTTCAAAACCTCACGTCAGCAGAAGTTAAGAGTAATTTGTGGAGTCCACAAATTGTGTATTGTTATGTATATTATCAGATTATCAGTCCTATGTGACAGATGAAAACCAAACCCAAAGAGATTAAATATCTTACTCAAATAACACCCCTTTTATTTCTTACATCATTATTCATTTTTGTACAATATTTGACTTCTTCCCTCAGTGTTCTCCCACCACCATATCACCCACGAACCATCACCATAATCCCTTGTGCTCTTCCATTCCCTTTTTTCCCCCTATCCCCTCCCTCCCCTGCTGGATGCCTCAGATCTATGGTCAGTTTGAAAATGACTTTTTCCTGCCCTTTGTTGGGTTTCCCCTTGTTCCACCCAGAGGTGATACCATCTGATACTTCTCTTTTACCATCTGACTTGCTTCACTTAGCATAAACCCTTCCAGCTCCTTCCATATTGCAGCAATTGGCATGAGTTTAAC